TACCACACACTGTTTCAATTTTGCACAAAGAGATGGAAGGAGGATAAAGTGGTAGCCCCAGAATGCACGATGTCTTGGTGCACCAAGGTGCCTTTCATAGGCTGATAACACTTGGATCCTGCTGGGACAGAGGGTACAGCCCCAGCCCAGGGATCTTCTGGCCACTCTCAACAGTGAGGGGAGGCAAATGAAAGGAAGTGGTGTGTGCTTTTCCAGTGAAAGCAGCACAGGCTGCTGTATGGCTCTAGAGAAGGCGTCAATTGAGAGGCTGTCACATAGGCCCTTTCTGGAGTGGTGTAGTAAAGAGATGATGAAGGGGAGGAGGTCCTCTGGGAGGGAGGGAGGGAGCATCAGCACAGGGCCTGTCTAGTTCTTCTCCGTGTCCTGTTTAACCAGGTGGTAGTTCTTATCTGAATAGAGATGTGGCCATTTTCCAGACCCTCTCTTTGGAGCCTTGAGCTATTCTGCAAACTTTGCTCTCTTGAGAATACTGCCCTAACGATCCTTCCTCCTGGAAATAAAAAACTGCCCCTGCTTCTCCTCCCACCTTCTCCCTCCCACCATAGCTCCTGGCATGGAGCCAGTCACTAGTGAAATTCTAATGAAGTCAAATAGGCAGGTATAGAGAGCCATCCCTACTGGGAGTGATGGCGTTTTTCTCTGGTGCACTGTCTTGGCAAGTGTGGTATGGCAGAACAGGTTCTTATGTTCCCCTTGGACAGAAAGTCAGTGATATCTACTGTGGAGTAGTTAGCACTCACTGAGTGCCGTTTGCAAGGAGTGTGGTACAGAGTTGGAAAGGAAGTGGTGTGTTCCTGCTAGGTGTCTGATAGACTTAAGCCCACAATTTTGAATGGCTGCTAGAAGACAATTTCTCTGTCCCAGGGCTACTGTGTTATGGGTTTTAGAGACTGGGGATGAGTTGGGTCTGGTTTATAGAATTCTGATCTTGGCTCCTAAGTGAGAAGCCAAGCATTTGAGTCTCCAAGACTTCAGGCAGGCATCACATCCTGGGGCTGGTGGGTATTGCGTTTAACATAGGGCCTCAGGCATCTCAAAAGGGATGCTTGGGGGTGGGAGAAGGTTCTATTTATTCAGTAGTGTTTTCTTGGTCATGTTGTCCTTCCTTTACCTTCAGATCCCCAGCTGCATCCTTTAGCTTCAGATCTCCAGCTGCAGCTGGGGATCCAGGAAGGCATCCACTGTAAAAGCTGGGAAGAACTTACGAGTGTTTGATTGTGGATAAGGTCACTACCCTAGGTAGACCAAACAGAAGACTCCGGGTGAACAACATTGTGTCAGGCAGAGTTAGAGAACAGTGTTAATTCCTCAAGCAGTTAAACAGGACAATGTCCATCTAGAAGGAAGTTCACCTAGGTTTGTGGTAGCAACAGCACATATCAGAAGCCAGACTTACTCCCTGGTCCTGTACTTGGGATAGAGTATGAGATGCTACCCATGACTCTACAGAACTAGAGGTCTTTGGGTCCAGTCATCCCTTTCCCAAGCAGGGAGAATCTGGTTCACCATAGCACAAACTCTTAGGGAAAAGAATCAACACCACTAGTGTGTCTAGTAACTTCCCTTCTGTGTGTGTGTCTCTGTGTGTGTGTGTGTGTGTGTGTCTGTGTGGGCACATTTGTGCCCACGTGTGTCTCTGCAGCTCACTACAACAGCCTCCATGTGCACTTGACTTGGTGCCCCCGGGAGCTCGTCAGGTTGGCACCTGAGTGCCTTACCTTCAGCAGTTTGAGGCTGGCTTGCTCTGCGCACGTGTTTCATTTTCTTCTTGGCCCTAGGCCAGTTAGGAACCTGTACACCTTCATTCTTTCATCAGTAAATAGTGGCCTTTGTCAGTATTTCCCCTTTCTAAGTTGCTGATGTCACAAAGCACACTTTTGGGGATTGTAGAAGGTTGGGGTTCCAGAAAGGCATCTATGTGACTGTTCCATTCACCATGGGATTTCCCTACTTGCTGTCTTCTCAATTTCTCTAATAAAAAGAGCCAAATGGAAGATCAACTTTGTTGTGTTTTTATTGCCTTTTTTCTTTTAAAAACCTTACTTCACTTTGGGGATATCCTTAACACCCTAATTTAGACAGGAAATTTAAGGACTTTTTAGAAACTTTTTGTCATCAGGAGGTTGATGCAGGAAGATCATGAGTTTAAGGCCAACCTGGGCTACACAGACCTTATCTTTAAAGTAAGATGAGCTTTCTCTATACCTGGTTGCAGTGACCATAGAGGTCTGAGAGCTGGGGGAGCCTTGCCACATGCACATGGTCACTGTGTTTTATCAGGGCGGTCTGCACTCCCTAGAGAAGCTCTGCATGGCAGTGCTGCAGCCCAGGAGCAGTACTGTCTCAAATGCTTTGCTGTAGTTGCACTGAAGCACCGGTTATTCCCCACCCCCATGTAAATACTTGTTGGCTCAGCCCCTCGGGAACCATTGAGGAGGGCTTAGCTGCAGCTTCATGGCCTGGCATCTGTCTGCCTGTCCTTTGACTACACTAGCCTTGGAATAGAGAGGCAAGTATGCATCCTCAGTCCTGTCATTTGCTATGGGACATGGGTCCCTGGCCCCTCCCACAAAAATAAAAGCACCCTTTGCAGTCTTCCTTTACACTGTGAAGAGTGTTCCCCAAACTGCCATTGAGCTTGGCTTGGCTTCTGCCAAATGCTTGTGCTAACTGGTATTTTTTTTTTTTGAGCCCGTCTTACCCCTATACTTTTCTGACCTTAAGATGCGTCCACTCCCAAGTTCTCCTGAAGCAAACTTCATTTAGCATCATGAGATGGTGTTGAAGCCTTTTATTTGAGGTGGTTCTAGTAAAGCATGTGCTTCTGACAGCATCCTTGAGCTCTTCCATTGAAGGTGATGCATGAAGATGCCAGAACACCATATCCCACTTAGTGAATGGCAGGGACACCAACTTCTTTCCTTAGAAGTCAAAGGATTGGATCTTTAACCAAAGCTAGGCTACCACCTGCAAGCATCTTGATGGAGTTCTGCATCGTGTGTTCAGCATCGTGGGACAGAGTGGCAGTCTGTCGGGTATACCTTTGCTTCAGCTGCTTCTGGTGACGCTTGAAAACATACAGTCCTTTAGCAGTGCCAGGTACAAGAGCTCCATATTTGTGGCCAGGAACCGCCTGGCATTCTACACTTAACGTTTTTATCCTGTGCCCAAAATAGTTGATAAGTTGGTTCAAATGCTTTGCCTGGGTGGATGAGGGAGAGGAGCTCCCCTGAGAGACCATGCAGTGCTTGTCACTGAGACCTAATGCTGCTGAGTAGAGGTAACAACACTAAAGACAAAGCCAGGGAGGCAGGCACTGGGAAAGACCTACCCTGCCATGCCTGGCAACACTGTCTTGGTGGCATGGAGGAGGAAGCTCAGCTGCAGTGGTTTGTACCTCACCTGGGCTGGGCAGCACCTCTGACCTTTCCTGCCTCCTAAGCTATGAAGCAAGATGCTTAGGGGTGTGGGGAGAGTGCTTAGTCTGCCCAGTGTCTGCTGGTGCGGGTTGGGAGCTCTCTAGGTATGTTGCCTGTTCCACAGGATCCTCACAAAGCCAAGATTTAGAACCAGTTTCCCCTCTGCAAACTTTAGTTTCCCCTTTTTACTTTATTTATTTCAAGACAGGGTTTCCCTGTGTAGCTCTGGGTGTTCTGGAACTCACTTTGTAGACCAGACTGACCTTAAATTAAGAGATTTGCCTGCCTCTGCCTCTTGAGTGCTGGGACTAAAGATGTGTATGCCGCTTTGTGGGGATTAGTTTCCTCATTTAAAAGACAAAATCATGGGGCTTGAGAGGCTTAGCTAGTGAAGTACAAGGATCCAAGTTTTCCCCGTCGTCCTTGAAACAGTGGGGGAATAGCAGGGCATGCTTGTAATCCCAGCACTGGGGGAGGTGGTAACAGAAGGATCCCTAGGACTTCCTGGCCACCTAGTGTGACTGAATTGGAGGGCCCCAGGTTTAGCGAGAGACCTTATCTCAAAAAATAAGGGAGTGGGTGAGGAAGATGACCAACAGCATCCTCTGGCCTCTGCATCTGTGCACAAACAGGTCCACAAACATGCACAGTCACATACATCACACGTGCCAAAAAGGGCAGGTAAATTGTACCTACTTCAAGGCATGGTGGCCAGGATTATATGTGTTTCTAACCTCAAGGGCTTTCACCAGACAGGTGGTTAGTTACTTTTGTAGAACACGAGCAACAGAAAGCCCACCATGGTTTCGGAGACTGTATGTGCCCCTGACCTTAGTGAGGATCCTGACCTGGCTGCCTTTGTAGCTCCTCCTCTGGACCACACCATTGTACAGTGCTGCAGCTGCAGGTCTCAGCCTGGTAGCTTTTCTTTTTCTTCTTTTCTTTTTGAGATAATAATTTCAATATGTCTCCCTTCCCTTTCTTCCCTCCAGATACCCCTCCCCCCTCTCCTTCAGATTATTGGTGTAAAAAGGTTGGAGTTCTTCAGTGGGTGGCATTCTGATGATAGCTCACAGGATTTTATTTCCATTTCTTTCCTCCTTCCTGCTCCTTCTCTGAGTCTTCTTGTCTCTCCCTCTGCCTGCCTTCCCTTGTACTATATGTAGTGGATGAAGGCGTCTTCCTAAAGACTCCTGTGTTGATGGCTACTGTGTTCTTGGCATAGCCTCTGCGTGGGTCTCACTGCTCAACCCTGGCCCCCAGAACTCAGGGAAACACCTGCCCCTTTGACTGTTTCTGATCTTTGGTAACTTGTATCCTTCCTCCAATTAAGCTCTTGTTGGGAGTCTTGAAGCAGAGATAAGAGTAGAAGACTTGGAGTACCTGGTACCCAATACCTTGGAGAGCCTTGGGGATCCTTCCAACAGTCTCTAAGAGGCAGAGACTGGTGGTAGCCCCAGGAGACACCTTACTGCTAAGAATCTGAGACCTCACCAGCTGGTGACTTTAGAATGTCTCTCTAAGGGTTCCCTTCTGTGAAAGTCAGATAGAATGGGGTCATCACAGAAGCTGGGGTGGAAGCAGCCAGGCCCACAGCGGTAGCAGGAGCAGAGGGAGTGACATTGCGATGTCTGAAGTGCCACCACAGTCCTGAGCGTTCTCCTGTAGAGACAGGTAAGGGGCATTAGGAGTGGGCTGGTCCTCCCAACCCAAGGGCCAGCATGCAGTGTGGCTAGACACAGACAGAAGAGAGGAAACCTACCTTTCTTCCAGCTTTTAGGGGCAGTGAAAACAGCATACTTAGTCTTTGGGGTCTTCTCCTCATAATTGTGTGGAGCAGCCCTGACCTCCAGGGGCATCTCTAGGGGAGGTGGTTTGTGGCAGCCACACCCAGCTGAGACTGGTTAGTAAGGCCCACATTTCAGGTGTTAATAAATACCACTTGCTATTGTCACTAGCCACGTAATAGTGATTCGTGCTGAGGTAGCCCAAGTGTGGACGGAGAGGGGAAACTCCTTGGGCCCCAGGCTCTAGGAAGTATAGATTCCCTTGGGTCCTTTGTTCTCTTCTCTTCCCTTCTCTTTCTTCCTCTCTGCTTTTTGTCTCTCACCAACCCCCCAACCCTTGTGGCCTCTCTGTCCCACACAAACTGACCTGGAATTCCCTTGCTTGCTTCTGCCCCCTAGTGCTGGGATGACAGGCCTGGCCAATCTAATTTCTTACAACACACCACATAAATGTGAGTGCTAGGGTCTCCCAGTATGTTGGGCACACACAGTTTTGTCATCAATGTCCAGACACATTCATATCCCAGGAAGTCACACACAGGACACAACTGGGGAGTTCACAGCCCACACCTCTGGATGGAAGGCATGGCAGGATCCTGGGCGCCGCCGGGGCTTCTGGGAGCGCATCCTGTCGCATTTGACAGAGGCATTATGTGCAGAGCTCACTGTCAAGGTCACAACTCTACGTAGTCCTGGAGATCCTGGGGTCAAGATCTGGGAGGTCAGTGGCCCTACAAGCAGGTTCAGGATGGGGAGCACCCCTCTCAGGGGCAGAGGGCTGGCCCATAAGTCATCCTGTAAGGAAGGGAATGGGTGTACAGGCTGGGCTCTGCACCCCAAATCTGAGCTTCTCCATGATCCCTCAGCCACCCCCTCCCTCCCTCTTGGGGGATGTGAAGGATATATTTGACTTCTGTGGCCTCCTGGAGGATGGGAGAGTAGGCGCTGCAGTCACAGGTAAGGTCTGTCACTAGGAGGAGCAGGTTGCTGCTGGGAATCTGTTGCATCACGAATGTCCTGCAGCAGAGAGGGTGGGAGGCTCTGAGTAGTAGGGGTACAGGCTAAGGAGAAGGACTTGGGGGAGAAACTTTCTGAGGCACCTGGAAAGACATGTAGCCATAGGCAGACTGAGGCCAGTAGCCCGGTACTTACAAGGCATTCCCTCCTTTCCCAATAGCCAGAGAAGATGAAGGAGCTGTCTTTAACAGGCACAGGAGCCATTCCCAGCAAACAGGGATATTAACTATCTCAGCTAGAGAGCTGGAGAACTTACAGTTCTAAGCTTAGCCACAAGGTGGCACAATGCTCCTATACACAGCTTGGGGTAGGGGGTAGGGAAAGGCGTTTTTGCATTGGCCAGGTGTTAGAAACACAGCAGTGCCGGCTGCCACCAAGCATTTTGTATGGATGGGTGATGTTACACACACAGGTATATGTCACACATATATCACTCACAGATGTGCTCATCACAGCATTATGTGAACTTGGTATCGTTCCCATTCTGCATAGACAAAACAGGCGAGAAGGGCTAAACTTGCCTATGGTTATAGTAGAGGCAGAGAGGGGCAGAGCTAGATTTAAAGAGTCAAGCCTGTCTGCGGGGAGGCCCTTACTTCCTGCCATCCCTTTGACGTTTCCTTCAAGCCTCGAGATGAGCACAGTCAATAGCGCCAGTCCCAGGAAGGCTGCTCTGTGTGTACATAAGATGTCACACGCGATAAAGAAACAGAAACCTAAATCTGTCTGATGTCAGAATCTGAGGCTACAAAATAGCTGGCATGGGTCTGGGATTCCCCAGACCTGCTAGTGGCCCTGGTGAGAAGCAAAACTGGTTGAGGGAGCCCCTAGATGTACTGTCTTCTTGGGTTGGGACAGAAGTCTCCGGGCTGCTTCCTCCAAGGTTTGGAGTGGGAAGTCAGTAGGTTTGGCCTTCTAAGCTTGTCTGGACGAAGCTAGAGGTTTCTACCCATGAGTTAGCCTGACTGGGTCCTGCTTGGAAACTATTGGCTTGGGGTGCTGATGCCCCAGAGAATGACAGCTCCCCCACCCCTGTGCATTTTCTGGGGACGCTGCAGACCTGCACACAGTTCCTACTTTGTAGAGGGCAGAACTCCTGCTTCTTTCCCTGCCTGGGGCGTAAGTGTGAAAGGCCTCGGCACCAGCTTGCCATGGCTGGTTTGGCTGAGCAGAAGGGAAGCAAGCAAGAGAGGCCTGTGGATTTAGAGAGACTTGTGGACATGGGAATTGGCCTCTGGATTCCTTTTCCCTGTGTTCCCTAATGCAGACCACCAAATTGTTCATGCCCCTCTTCCTCTCTCCTGCCTCAGCCTGGGTTTTTCCTGTGCTGAGGAGTAGGGAGATGAGGAAGGTGACCTTTCCCTGAGGCGCTGTCCTTTTCTACCGTGGACCTTCTGGTGGCTGCATGGGGACTTACTTCTGGCAGGCCTCACACTCGATGATCCCATTGGCCTCCTGGATAGACGTCTGGTGCACGAACACTGGGTATTCTGTGTCACAGGGGTGCAGCAGGTCCTGCTTTTTGTGTGTGTGGGCTGTGGGTGACAGGAATGTGTGTAAGGAGGGCTATCACCTCACAGAGGTCCTAGGAAGCCCATCTGCAAGGGCAGCATCCTTTAGTTTGCTACAAGTGGCCAGCACTCAGCAAAAGGCACCGCGGAGCTGCTGGGTGGCCCTCGCCAGGAGCCCTGAGATCTTTCTGCAGAGCACTCGTGGGCACCCTGCAGTGCTGCTACGACAAAGCACATTTTGCCTCTTACGGCCCAGCAGCGAAGGAAGTGTAGGGAAGACACAGTGGCCTGGAAACACCTGGAAGCGGAGGAACAGACATGACATTGCTTTTGCAAGGTCACACAGGCGTGAGGAAAGTCACAGGTCTCCTCAATGCCTGGACCCAGAAGCTTCCCTCACAGATAGTAAATCTAAGAGGGGAGGGCAGGCTGAACAATCCTCGTGGCCTGGGGAAGCACCCACAGCCCAGCCGGCTTCCATCCCTGTTTATGCCACTGGGCACCTCTGCTCCTGGTTCTCAGTGTCAGAGGACAGATGCCTCACCACTGGCTCTTCTCTTCCCAGGGGTTCAGGCTTAGAACTAAGCTATTTTCCTGCCACTGGGGTCACTGGCTTCATAACTCCAGTTATGAAGGGGGCCTAACCACAGGAACTTCAGGTCCAAGGACCTGCCCTGGTCAGCAGCAGCAGCTGAGGAGGCAGAGGGAAGGAGGGGAAATTGTTTATATAATGAAGCCAGACAAGAAGGCAGTGGGAGTCTCCTGGCTACTGGATGTCCAGAACCCAGAGAGTTTAGTGGGGTGGGCTAAGGTTGGCCATCGTTTTGGCCCGGGAAGCCCACATCTCCAGGACCTAAGTGCGTTTGTGTCTCTCGGCTTGTAAAGGTCAGGTGTCCCCCTTTCCAGACTGAGGTCAGGTGTCCCCTTCCCAGGCCGGCAGGAGTCAACAGCAGCCGGGACAAAGCTTTCCCTTTGCTTTGTGTCAGAGCTGCCTTGACATGTCATTGTCCTTGGGGACTGTCCTTAGGCACAACTTCAGGGGAGGGGTGCCTTTCTAGAGGATACTCCCTCAAACCTGGAGCCTTGCCGAGGCTGCTTTCTTCTCTAGGGTGACCTGGTGGCATCTCAACAACATGATGGGCTATACCTCCCTTTTAACTATCAGAACCCCTCAAGAGGAGACGGCTGTTTCCTAAGGCAGGCCTGTACTTGTGTGGCTTGAGCTCTGGGCTTTCTTGCTTCCTCAAAATGGTGCTCTAAAGGTTTGGGGACCGCCTCCTGTCCCCAGTCAAGGAGTGTCCTAGGATAAAGAAATTCAGGCTGCCTGTGCTCACTCCCAGGACTCAGACTTAAAGACAAGTCCTTTACAGCTCCCCCGGGGACTGGGCAAGGTAGGCTCTCTCCGTCAGAACTACTTACAATGATGAAAGACAGTCTTGGCTGCCCAGGACAAGAGCCCACCACAGGGTTGGACATGGCACAGGGAAAGCACAGCATCACACGAGGACAGGATGGCATAGGGCAGTAATGATGGCACACGGAGCAAAGGTGATCAGAGGTGATGTGATATCACACACAGAGGCGAGGGGAAGGTGATGAGATGAGATTATGTACATGAAGGCTTCAACACCCACTCCACTGCCGCCCACCCCACTGCCGCCTAGCCCACTGCCGCCCACCCCACTGCCACCCACCCCACTGCCGCCCACCCCACTGCCTCCCACCCCACTGCCGCCCACCCCACTGCCGCCCACCCCACTGCCGCCCACCCCAGGCAGAACCTTTCTAATGAGCTTCCCAGAGTGCTGCCCACAGCTGCTTCCTGGCACTTACCCTCGGACCCTTTGTCCTGCCAAGATCCCCAGGTACTCCACTGTAGAAGGAACCTGCAGGATGCAGAACACAGTCTCGGGGACTGGCATGTGAAGCTCTCGGGGTGCCACTGCCTCTAGCCGCCCCCTGTAGGAACCCATCTTTCTGCTTGAGGGCATGAATGAAGGAGGGTGTAGGGTGGGGTTGAATGCCTCCCTCCTCCCGTGGCTAGTGAACCAGGCTATCTTGTGGGCCATAGGCAGCCCCCTTAAGGGTAGCCTCATGACCTCGTCTCTGTACGCAGGGAATCTTACCTGTCACTTTTAATCATAACCCAGTCCTTCCCCAAAGGGAACTCTTGTCACCTGGAACCCTCCCTCCAATCCAAGACTCAGGCCCCACCTGTAGGGAACACTCTCCTTTGGTCCTGACCCTTTGATCCAGGGAGCCCTCCCCTCCCCTGACCCCTGACCCCTGACCATGGTTTCTCTCCCCACTCCATCTAACCCCTACTCACAGCAGACATTCATGCAGTAGCCACCTGACCACCATCAAGGAGGCAGAGAGAGGCTGGAGGAAGAGCAGAGCTATTTCAGGGAAACCCCAAGTGATATCACTTAACAACCACCCTCCAGACCCAACCTGCCTGCCCCTCAGAAGGAACACCAGAGCAGAGGGACCTCAAAGACCTCCTGTAGGTCAGAGTCCCCACAGGTTGGATTTGAAAAACCCTTCAGGAGTCTGGTCATTTCCCATCTCTGATAGACCAGTGCTAGGAACCCCTGAAGATCTAATGTCAGTCTGGGAGGTGAGAATGAGCCCCCCCCCCCCCGCAGGACAAGACAACCCTGCAGCCCCAGGGGGAGGGGTGAGCATCAGAACAGGGTCCAGAATAGCCTGAGCCAGAAGGTCTGGGGCTGGATGAGGATGGGACCAGGTGACATTCTGAAGGACAGGGCAGAGGATGAGTCCCAGTAGAGGGACGTCCTGGGGGGACACTTACACTGATCAGGGCCTGGGCTGCACTGTGGCGGTGATCTGGGGGCTCACACATGGCCTGGTAGTCATACATGGTCACACTGAAATGCAGAAGTGAGCTGTGTCAGAGCCAAGACCACTCCATGCCCTGGCCTGGAGGCCTTGGTTGCAGGATTTGTGTTGACTAGGGTCCATGTGGGTGCCCAACTTAGAGGAGTGAGCCAGAGTAGAAGCCAGCTCATGCCAAAATGTCACTCCCATGCGTGGATGGCTTTAAGAACACAGATAGCATGCTTGCTGTGTTGGTCTGTGCTTTCCTCCAAGCCCTGAGTGGAGGCTGGAGAGTCACTCTGCGGGACGGCCATGCACCTTACACCCACCCCTAGATTGACTTCAGTCTCTGGCTCCAGAAAGGCATCTTTGGGGCCTCTCTGGGGGTGTCTGGGGTCAGACCCTGAGGGCTATCTGAGGACCAGAGAGGGGAGCATCTCACTTACCGGCTGAACACCCCCATGCTGAGAAGCTGTGCCATGAGAGCTCCATCCACCTCCCCCAGAAATCTTCCCATCTGTGGGGGGGAACCAGAGAGAGCTATCGCCAGGCTGTCCCTGTAGCTGCTTTTCCACGGAATCCTTTCTTCTTCCTCGCAGCCCGCCCCTCCCCCAGCTGACCATCGCAATCAAGGCTTTCTAAATCGTGTTGTCATCTGCAGCGGACTGTGAAATCGGCCCAGAGGGCACTCCAAAAGTGGTCCGGGGTTCCTTAAACATGAGTCGGAGCTTCCAAGGAAACGAGTTTGTGGGCCCCCTTTGTTGCATGTACTTTTTGTTGCATGGGGTGGGGTGGTGATGCTGGTGGAGGTGAGTTGGTGAGGTTAGTGGTGGTGATGGTGTGTGTGTATCTGTGTGTGGTGATGCTGGTGGTGATGCTGGTGGAGGTGAGTTGGTGAGGTTAGTGGTGGTGATGGTGTGTGTGTATCTGTGTGTGGTGATGCTGGTGGTGATGGTGTGTGTGTATCTGTGTGTGGTGATGCTGGTGGTGATGGTGAGGTGGTCATGGTTGTTAGGATAAAGGAGTGGGAATGTACCTTTGCCAGGCCTGGGCCAAGGTGTGCCACTAAGAAATCACGGCACACAACAGATCTAACGCAAGGGGGAGGGGGTGAGTGAAAGGCCATCTTGGAGTGGGGAGAGAGAAAGAGAGCTGTGATGTTCAGAGGGACTTTTTAAAGGGGGCGTATGCCACTTCGAGTTGCTACAGTGGAAATGTGCCACACCTGGTGTGGCAGGTGCTGCTGCAAGCTGCTGCCATTGAGCAGAGCTCTTGATTCACAGCAGTGATGCTAGCGGTGGTGGTGGTGCTGATGGTGGAGACGTAATATGTGGTAGCAGTGATGATGATTGGCGGTGGCGGTGGTGATGGCGGTGGTAGAGTATGCTGTCAAAGGTAGCTTTCAGCAGGTTTTGCCATGAGCTTTGCTATCCTGGCTTCTTCATTGAGTGGAGGAGGGTAGGAGCCTGGGATCGCCCTCTGTGTTCCCTGCCTTCTCTGCATCAGCTGGATTTGTCTTTCACCTCTTGGGCTCTGGCCCTCTCTGCACATCCTTTTCCCTGCCCCCAGATTTGTTGCCAAAATACTCTCAGACAGCTTGGGTTTGGGAAAGTAGTAATGTCACTCACTGCCCACCCCCAAAATAAGATAGGACCTCCTTGCTCATGATCTAATCAGTCAGTATCCGGGGACACCTGCTGCCCAGCATCCTCCAAGGCCCTGCCCATGGATGGTTATGTCAGTTGGATTAGCTCTTTGCTGTTCCAGTGACTGTGTGTTTCCCTTCCATCAGCAGGAAGCACGATCCCTGCAGAGACTTGTCTCTACCCTTTGGCTGTTCGTTGCGTGTGTGTGTGTGTGTGTGTGTGTGTATAAAACCTGAAACTTATGCTCCTTGAGACAGGGAAACTAGGGCTGTAAGCCCATCCCATTCTCTTGCTAAATTGTAGGCTCATTCCTCACCAGCCCTGCTGATCAAATGCCCAGTTCTGAGGCAGGAGATCTGACTGTAAGAAAGCACACCTTGGAAAACACTTCTGTCTCTGCAAACAAAACTCCATATCCTAGAAAATGCCACTTAGTAGGAAACGTCCACTGCCCTTCTTTTTGTAAGGCAACTTCTGCAACAATGGAAGCACTGTGGTCCACAAAAAGACTACACTTCCCAAAAACCCTTGTATTGAGAGCTGGCCAATGAAATGGAGTAAAGCCCAGAAGAGAACTTCTGGGAATTCACTTAAAGTGAGAGGACTGTGTTGGGGTATCCAAACTCCACTGTTGCCCTCTTATTTGGGACGTGGATTAGAAGGCAAGGATGCTACCATGAGGATGGGATACCTGGTGCCTCCAGGAAGCCATACTAAGCCTGTGCTGCCTTGATCTATGAAATAATCTGTGATTTGCTTAAGTCAATGCAACAAGGAGAACACTATCGCTAACGGATAGTGACTGTTGACTTTTGTCCAAATGAATAAATGCCTCAGATTGAAATTCTGGACCTGCAAAGGAAAGGTTCCAGTGTGGATTTTGTCATTTCAGGACCTGGATTTTAACATGTGGCTTTACTAGGAATACAGCTGACAAGGGGCTTCCCAAGGCTCCTTACACCCGAGATTACCCGTACATGGCATAGCCAACATGCTGGCAGAGCTCTGGAAGATCCAAAGGTCCAGGGTTGCCTGCATTTAGTTTGGTATGAGTTTGGGATAGAGTCAGGGTCCTATGAGGTCTGCCCTGGAGCCTGGAGTTCAGTAGATGGCTTAGGCAGGAAAGAATTCAGGAGTGAGCTGATAGCCTCTGTGGGATGGTTGCCCCAACGCAGGGCTGACTTTCCTGTTGTGTGGCTGCTCATCAAATACCCAGCTGTGCGCTCCTATCTGTGTTCAAACTGGTCTGAGTTCCAGGCCTGTGCATCTGTGGCCTCTTGGCCCAGCACAGCTCAGCTTACAGCTTGTCCCAGGCAGGCCCAGATGAGGAGAGAGATACTGAGCCCTGTCAAGGGGCTGCAGCTGACATGAATCCTAGAGCTAACCCAGGGGTCAGCACTCCTTATCCGTGGCTTCTGACAACCTGCAGGATTGGCTGTAATTCTATGAGACCCAGCCAAGTACATCTGAGCCAGTTAACTGTTTTGAGTAGAGACAGAGCAACCTGGACAGGGAATTGAAGGACTCAGGTTGGCGACTAGGTGTTAGAAACGTGTATGCTACCCTTGACCCCAAGACAAAGCTGGTCTGAGTTCACCAACCTCGTGTGTGTGTGTGTGTGTGTGTGTGTGTGTGTGTGTGTGTGTATGTGTTTGGGGGGTGTCTTTGAGCTGGCAAAAGCCTCTAGATCAGTGGTTCTCCACCTTCCTATTGCTTCAACCCTTTTATACAGTTCTTCATGTTGTGGTGACCCCCAGCCTTGAAATTGTTTTTGTTTCAAAACTGTGATTTTGTTGTTGTTATGAATCATAATGTAAATATCTGTGTTTTCTGATGGTCTTAGGCACCCCCTGTGAAATGGTTGCTTGACCCCCAAAGGAGATGGGACCCACCGGTTGAGAACTGCTGCTCTAGAAGCTAGTTTTATTTATACTTTGTTTAATTTCATAAAGGATTTGGATCAGCTTGTAAGCCTATGCAAAACATAAGATAATACAACACTTGAGAAAATGAAGGCACATAAGCTAAGCACTTAAAATAGGGAATGAAAATGTATGTTACATCAAATATAAACCTTAGAATAGACCGACTGTTTCTGTGATGTCCTGGGATCACAATTCATGAGCATATGGGATGCTCTAGACAGAATGGGAACAATTCAACCCAATGTGCTATCCAAGGGCCCTGGGGTCTTCTTCACTGAGGTGGCCCTTTGCAGTTGTCGCAGCTGGACTGGGTTGGGGGCAACGATTGGCAAGCTAGGGGTGAGAGAACTCTATTCGGCCTGTTGGGGACTTACGTGGCTTCATGATAGAAGAATAGCCTTTTTTGTTATTGCTGTTTTCCAATGGTTAGGGAAAAGATCCAAAAGGCCATTAATATTTCAAGCTCATGAACATTGCATGAGATGTTTCAGTATCCATAGCAGGATCCTGTTGGGACGGTGCCTACTCACTCGTGTGTCCTCTGTCCCGGTTCCTGCTCAGTCGCCATCAGAGAGCCCTGACTCACACGGCTGATGCCCCCGGGTGCTCTCTGCCCCTCCCCCGCTGCTACGCAGGCTCCCTGGCCCATGTTCTGGCATACTCTTGGGCTGGTCTGTAATCTTATCTTGCCTGACCAAGCCACCTGACTCCACTGCCGCTCCTGTTCATGGCCACCTTCTGACTCCTGAGCTATCCCACAGGAGACCAGGCACCACAGTCAGTCACGATCGTACGGCATTGGGACCAGCGTGTGAGTGTCCTTAGGCCCCTTCAGCCTTATAGTCAACTTCTGTTTCCCTCCATTTTCTGACCGAATGGACTGTCTCCGTGTGAAGAAGGGCAGGGGAGGAAAGGGAGGAGGCAGACGGGACTGGACACCCGGGTGCCAGGACTAGTGACTGGTCAGAGTTCTGGCAGTGTCCTGACTGACAGCCTAGACCTTTCCAGTAGGAAGCAACAGTAAAATCTGCTTTCTCTTCTCAGTTCTTGCTGCATGTCAAGCGGGCTATTTAAAAACTGCTCCCGGGGAGCCGTCCCACGGTCCTTTGGTCCCCTTCTATCTTGACTCTATCTGTGCCCAGTCTCCTGATGTCCCCGCTCTACTTCCTGTCATGTTCTGACAATTTCCACGGACTCTCAGCCCTGCTTGGATGAGGCTACAGTTTGGCTTTGGGGGACAGAGACTACCTTGGCCAGGACCCTGGCCAACGTCAGCTCTGATCCTGTACTATCCAGGCTTCGGGAGCCTCCTGCTCAGGGTTGAACCCTGACCTCAGGTGATCCAGCCTGTGCTTTTCCAGAGGAGAAAACTGAGGCCCAGATCGTGGAAGCTGCTAACCGAATTTAACACATGCCTACAGGCGAAATTCCTCTTGGAGGTTATTCAGAGCTGTGGGCTTGTGTCAAAGAACCGCTTCAGGTGTTTGTGTTCCGGTTTGGCTCAGGGTGGAACAAGCTTCTTTTAAAAGTGCGATTTAAAGTATAATCCCTGGCTAATTTCAGGGTCTGATTTGTGGCTGAGCAGATATAAAACTGCCATCGTGACTTCCTCTTCTGTCTGAGTAGGTGGCTGGAGGGAAGGCAGGCTGCTGGGTAAAGTAAGGGCGGCCCCCCCCCATGCCCCTGCTGGCCTGTTGGCACCCTGGCTTGGTGACAGCAGTAAAATTTCCTACAAGGGGACCCAGAAAGGAGAGGAGCACAGGGGTGGGGACAGTCCCCCTGGAGACGATGGTGATAGAAAAGGGTAGGAGGATGGGTAGGAGAGGGCAAGATACAAGCAGAAGAGGTGGGGCTCAAAAGTCCCCATGGTTCTTCAGCGGAGGGAGCAGGACACTTGGTGGCAGTGCAACCAGGCCCTCCCTGAGCCGTGAGCTTGTTGAGTGGCTCCTCACAGACATGACATGTCACATGGCAGAGAGGTCAGCTTAGTCACAGCTAAGGGGGAGAAGTATTTCTGCCTTTGAATGCCGCTCTGCGTTTGTCCTCTTGCTCTGTGGTTTGGACGGAAGGCAACTCCTTTAGGCCTGCTTGGCTGATAAAGCTGCTAAGGGTCTTGGCTCCCCTCCCCCAAGCCCTTTTCTCTAAGTTCTGGCTCTTCGGTCACTTACCTCTTGGGGTCTCTGGGAGATCAGAATGAAGCCATTGTTGTCTATAAGGAAGCAATCCAGATCCTGGGGGAGAGGCCAGGACAGGAGGTCATAGCCAGGGCCACGGCTTGCTCTAGCCCTCCTGCTCACTCAAAGGGTTGCGGAGGGTGAGCCCTGCAGGCAGGCTCAGGGAGGAGGGAAGTAGTTCACAGGGGGACACAGGACAGTGAACTTCTGCCTGTGCCCTCCTTCAGGAGTCACTTACAGTGTCCTCGCAGCTCTTCAGGCACGGACCCTCCTCAGTGCTGCACTGGAAGGAAGAGGGGACACTGTGAACAGTGTGTGCCTTTGTGGATGCAAGTACATGTGCGTGTGTGCGCGTGTGTGCGTGTGTGTGCACGTGTGTGCGTGTGTGCGCGTGTGTGTGTGCGTGTGTGTGCGTGTGTGCATGTGTGCGCGTATGTGTGCGTGCGTGAGTGTGTGTGCGTGTGTGTGTGCGTGTGTGTGTGTGTGCCTATGTGTAGCATCATGTGAACTATGCATCTATATGTACACAATGTGTGTGTTAAAGGTAGGTCTATGTGTGCTGTGTATGTGGAGTGTTTGGATACATTTTACATGTGGTATACACGTGGCTTATATATTCTGTGTAAATGTGCATACCTGTGTATGTGCAGTGTGCTATGGTTATGAAGAGTCTGTTGTATGTGGGTACATTTGGACTGTGTCTTGTATGAGGAAGGTCTGCCTGTAGTGTGTGCGTGCTTGCATGTGTGTCTGTATATACACATTTGTGCGGCGCATTTGTGAAGGGCCTGTTGTATGTGGAGGACCGGCCTTGGCAACTGGAGTCTATGAGAGTCATGTACACACCTGTAGGTGTCTCCCAGCAGGCAGGAAACTGAGCAGCAGGCCGTGCTCTCCTGAGGACAAACACAGGCCACCTGCCTGCAGGGCACTAGGACTTTCACATGGTGAGTGGGTTCTTACTGGTCCCCTCCACCTCTGTGGCCTTTCTACCTTCACTGCACAGCTCACTGTGCCCAAGGCAGGGACCTGGCAGCCTGGAGTGAAGGAGTAGACGGGACTTTTCCCTGAGAGGATGACTCAGGCTAGAAGGACATACAGAGGACAGTGAAGATTTCTGGTGTGTGTGTGTGTGTGTGTGTGTCCTTAGAGGGAGGGGCTAAGTGAACTTCTAATTTACTCTGTAGCAGGCAAGGCTAGGGTAGTTTGGGGACAACAGCAGTGGCCCCATTTTACCCTTTGCCTTGGATCTGATCAGGGGACAGAGCACTGGAGTGGGGGTGGGGATGGGAGGAAGAAGCCCGATATGCAGGGTCCAGAGAAGGGCAGGGAAGGCAGAAATAGAGTGAGATGTCTCCTGTGGGCCTGATGGGCCGGGCTGTGGGGACAGTCCTTCCCTGTGGAGCCTACCTGCTTCATGGCTGCCCAGAACTGGCGCTGGAGGTAGTCCACTTGCATCTGGATGCCCACAGCTGCAGAGAGCAAGAAAGAGGAGGGGCAAGGCCAGATGAATATTTGGGGGAGGAGGAAACAGTGAGAGCAGAAAAGAATAGAATCCACTGAAAGAGAGAAAGCTTATCAGTGGCGGTGGCTGTGGGGAGAGAAGCATGGGCAGGAGGGAATGATGGAGACTTAGTCACTGGTGATGGGAATCTAGGGTCTCTGTAATAGGACCCAGGGGATTAGAGGAGGGGATCCAGGCCAGGAGATGCTCCCTGTGGGAGATGCAATACCAAGAGATGCCAGAGAACCGTGAGGATGGATGGCTTCCTCTCTGATCCCTGGGAGCTCAGGGCACACTCTCTGGCTGGTGCTTCTCCCTTGACATGCGTGAAAAGAGAGGCTGGCTAGCATTGTTTGTGCAAGATCGTGGGACCCAAAGTAGCGAGCTAAGTCTGAGTCTGGAAACTCAGAGGCCCCGTGGATCTCAGTCCTGGTGTGACACTCCCTGGAGGCACTCAGGAAGAAACCTAAGTTGTCGGAGGTTGAGCCATAAGCCGACCACCCGAGTTTGCAAGGCCATTTCCCGGAGACCAGGAATGCCGCCAGTGCACAAACGCTTCTCTTTTGATGTCCCCCAACACAAGCGCCATCTGCCTCTTTGATTCCCAAATAGGTCTGGAGAACCCAAGGGGGCACTCACATACTAAGAGAAATCTGGGACAAAGAGCGACAGGAGAACTTGGGGCCAAAGAATAGAAAAAAAGGCTGGCTATGCTGGGCAGAAAGAGAGTCCAAACTAGGCCAACTTCTTAGTACCTAGAATAATATTAAAGGCGTTTGGGGGCTTTGGGTGAGTTAGGCACCTTTACAGGCATAAAGGTGTTTAATCCTTCATAGACTGGCACTAGCCTCATTTAGACTTCACGGGATGAGGGAACAGAGCTGAGAGCAGGGGTTCCATGTGGCTCAGCTAAGTTGCCAGCCAGGAAGTAACAATGAACAGGCTCCGAACCTCTAAGGCATAGCTCTGAGTTCTTCCCTCTGGGTCTGGCAGCCTGTCAGCAGGCCTCTCATACATACCAAGCTCAGGGTTCTCAATCGTTACGCCACCTGCCTAAGAAAGTCTAAAGTCACTCGATGCCATTCTGATTCCGAGGGCCTCGTGGCTCTTCCACGATGCACCTGTATCCTGGGGAGGTTTGAGGGGGAAAGAAATTAGGGAGCAGCCATGCCAGCAGGGTTCCAGCCAGTGAAGCTGTTGCGCTGGGTTCTCCAGGGCCACAATCCGCATCTGGCTTTCTTTAGCAATGCATTGAGATTGCCGTTGCCACAAAGCTGCAGACCCAGCCTTTTTGGTGTTTCTCATTTTGAAATGGGGTTTTGCTAAGTTGCCCAGGCTAGTCTTGAACTTGTCATGCTTCTGTACAAGCCTGAACTACTGTTGAGACTCAGGGGGAAAAAGTGCAAGGTCGGATTCTAGACCAAAGCCCCCTGAAGGGCAGGTGAAGTCACTGCAGAGTTTCCCACCCAGGAGGCCGCCTAGGCCTGGGAGCCTGCATTTCTCGTGGCAATAGGTGATGCTGTAGCAGGTCCCAGGAGACCCTGACCCAAAGCCTCCCCGTGTAGATGGGTTTTATAAGAAGCTGGGGACACCCGACACCTGGCCTGTCCCAAACTGTAGCCATTTATCACTATGGCTGCCGGAGACCCCATATGTGGCCCATTGAGGGCCTGAGTTTTTAGTTTTATTTTATATTAATGTAAATGTTGCTAACCCCATATCGATGGCAGCTTCCATGTTGAACAGTAGCATCCTGCGGCTAATCTGCAGTTAAAACAGCAACAGCAACACCTGAGGTCCTAGAAGGCCCCTCCCCTCCTGCACAGTCTCCGGATTTCTGAGGTGGGTCTTGGGAGCCTCTGTGAAAGTGACAGCTGAGCCTGAAGGTCCAGGTGACTGAAAGGGGTAGGTGGGGGCAGGGGGCAGGTAGACCTGTGGGAAACACAGACGTGACATGCCATCCCAAGTGGGCAAATGCTCTGTCCCAGGAAGTGTGGTGCTCCTCCTCGTTCACCTCATGGAGGATTACCCTGGGAGCTCATCACACACAGGTTTCCTTCACCTACAGAAACAGGGCTGAACTCGGGCTCTTCTGAGCGCTATTACAGGGCTCTTCTGAGCACTATTACAGGGCTGCGGTGCTGATACTGAGGAGAGTCAGCTCCTTGGGAGCTAAGGAAGTTTATTCGACTTCATCCCCGACTCCAGTAATCAAAGGGTCCCAGACTGGCTCTAGTATGGGACTCTAGCTCTCTCTTCTGCAGCTCAGGGTGTGTTCCACAGACTCACACAGTTTCCAAGCTCTGTGACTCTCATATGGGAAGTCTGGAGAAGGTAGGGTTTGACTCTGCCTCAGTGAAAGCCAGGCTTCAGGGCTACTTGGGTAGACGTGAGGGCTTAGCAAAGGGCAGGTTAGTGGTGGTCACACCACATAGCCAGCTGTCTATCCTTTCAGAATTTGGAATATCTTAGTAGCTTCTCAGGCCACTGTGTTACTGTGAGCTCCAAAAGCATTTGCACGTGTTCAGAAGCTACCCTACCCTCTACCTGAAGTAGTCTTGTACAGTCTGCATTCCAAGGCTCATTTTTTGAGTCATTTCTATCATTTCTCTGTCCACCTAGGTTCTGAAGACCTTGGTTCCAGGACTCCATACAGAAATACTTTCTGCTGTGACCACTATGGCCAAGCCAACATCCTCTTGCCTTGTGCCTTTAGGGTCCCAGATTCCCACTCTGGCCTTTCTCCATGTGACACAGTCATCACCCAGAAGACCAAAACCCATCCCTTCTTTACTTGACCCCATCCTGCCTTCCCACTTAGAGCAGAATTTAGATCCCTGCAAACCCATGAAGCAGCCATTTGGTTTCAGCCTGAATTGTTGTCTTCCTCTAACAGGGTCAGCTCATCCGTACAAGCGTCTTTCTGGAATGCTCCTGCCTAGAACTCAACTTGCCTGTAATCAACTCAACCTCATCACCTGGCAGAGACTTCCTGCTCTCCCCAGATAAAGCTGCCCTCCTCCTCGCCCTTTCTCTCTCTCTCTCTCTCTCTCTCTCTCTCTCTCTCTCTCTCTCTCTCGCGTTGCTTTATTTCCTAAGTGATATGATTTATCTCCCCCCGTGGAGTGGGGTTCACAGAGGGCAAGCAGATGGAGCCCTGATTCTTAGATCTAGAGTCACACTGTCACTTAACAGGGCTCAGTAAATGTTTCTTAGTCAATTTGTGCCAGGCCTTGACTGGGGGGAGCAGTGACCTCACTTTCGTGACTGCAAAGGTTCAGACCTTTCCAGACTCCTTGTTATTGCTCACACTAATCTTTCAGCTTAGAGGTTAACCCTGTGCCCCAAATCCCTCTGCAATCCACTGGGAAATGAGAGATTTAAGTGAGAAACAAAGCGGATCTTCCTTGCGGCTGGCAGAGAAGTGGGGCGGGAGCAGGGGGGGGGGGGCGCACATATCGTCTTCAACAATGGAGTCGTCCTGCCTCTCTCTTCCTCCCATACTCCTAGGTTTTAATCCTGCCATAGAACATTTACAGAGCTCAGCCTCCAGGCCTAGTGCCCCTGTTCTGCTGGGATGGTGGACTCCAGGAGTTCCCGGAGTGCCTGGGAGAACCATCTTCCTAGGTCACCTCCTGCTACCTGCTGTGTGGCTGCATCTGCCCAGAATTTTTGATGAGGCGAAACAGGCAAAGAGGCCAGGGTGGGAAGGCTTCCTGCGTGGTTTCCCTGGGTGTAATTGCGTGATCTTCCCTATGTTTGGGTCTGATGGGTCCCTGTTTTATACCTTGGCCTTAGTTTGTGAGGGAGCTGCCATGAAGGAAGGATGAATCTCAGATCTCCTTCTACCTGCCATAGTTTACCTGGGTCCTTCCCCTGTCCCTGTCCTCCCTGCCTCAGGCTGCCTTCCCCTCCTGCTATCTCTCCACAGGGTTCTTGTGTTTTCCTCCAAGACCCCAGTGCTTTAATGTCCTCTCATTCAGGCCCATAGCCTAACAGAGCACTCCAGGAAGACTACAGGCAGCTGGAGCCTTAGTGGGACATATATCCTTGCTCTACGGTGTTGCTCTGTCACCAGGAATGGCAAAACAAAGCACACACAGAGATACAGACACACAAAGAGACACAGACACACACACACACGTACCATAAACACAGACACACACAGATACACACACACATGCATAGACACAGCACAGACACACACGTATCACAAGCACAGATACAGACACACAAATTTACCATAAGCACAGACATACACAGAGATATACGTACCATAAACACAGACACAGACATACATATGTACCACAAGTACACACACACACACACACACACACACTCCCTCTTGTGAACCTTCTTGGCCTATGACTAGCTGAACAGACGCTGTTCAGGGGCCTGATTTCTGCAGCATTAGCACTCAGTGAGCACTAGGGTCCTAGGATTCCAGGGCTGGAGGCAACTGCAGAACCCCAACCCACCTGCTTGGTCTATAAGGCAAGAACTCAGTTAGACTCCAGGTTACCAGTTACTTAGCAAAAGGATAGACTTAGCCAACAAGAAGGCCTAGAACTATGGGGGATAGGGACAGCGTAAGGTCAGTTGTCTCCAAATAGCTCACAATACAAGACAGAAAGCTACCAAATTTTTCTGTGATCAGGACCATAAAATGACCCAGAGAAAACATCTCTGCAGAGGGGATGTTGGTATGTTGGTGTTAAGTTTACTTGTGTGTGTGTGTGTGTGTGTGTGTGTGTGTGTGTGTGTCCATCCATTCCCAGGACAACCTGAGGGAGTCTGTTATTTTTTTCTACCATGTGACTTCTGGGGGCGTCAACCTCAGGTCATCAGGCTTGACCATAACCTGAAGCTGAGTTTTTATGTCGGGGTAGATCACTATGGGCAGAGAGCACCAAGCTCCTGAAGGGCCTGTTTTCCTGAGACAGGAGGTGGGAGTGTGTTAGGGCAGTG